GCTGGCCCTTAACCTCATTTCCATGCTTGGGAGCAAATGGCACTTGGAAACCCTGAAGGCTGGAAGTGGTTATTGGGAGGGGAGCCTTTCTGTCACCCAGTACACTCAGCCTGTCTCTGTCCCAGCCAGCTCTGACTCTGTCTGCATTTCCTCCCCAGGCATTTACGTCATTGGCTTCAGCTACCCCGTGGTCCCCAAGGGGAAGGCGCGCATTCGGGTCCAGATCTCAGCCGTGCACAGTGACGAGGACATCGACCGCTGCGTGGAAGCCTTCACCGAGGTGGGACGGAAGCACGGAGCACTGTCTTGAGGGGCCAGAAAACACCTCTTCAGCACCATCTCTGTCCACAACCAAGTGCCTCTGATGGGGAAAAAGGCTTGAACAGCACACTGCCAAAAGCAGGACCGTTCCTCAAGGCATCACAGCCTGTGTCACATGAGTCAGCCAGCTGGCTGTTGCAGCATGCTGGCAGTAGCACTGGTAAACAGCACTTAAGTGTCATTAAAAGTGTCCTGCAGTGCAGCGGATATTTGTCTGCCTCCTATTTCCTCATCCAAGAGCTGCACCCCATCCCCATCCTCTCATGCTGTGACCAGACACTGCTATGCCTTCCCCGAAGCCTCAGTCCAGATGGTGAAGCGCTGCAGTTCCTGCTGTCTCCTGCTGATGGAAATAACAGCGTTGCTGATGTTGCCTGCTTCTTCCATGCTCTCCTGTGGGTTCAGCAGCATCACCCTGGCAGATCTGACTGCTGTAATTCCCCCACTGAGGCAGGGGTGTTTCCTACACCTTTTGCAACCTGTGCTACTGGCAGCTGGTTAGGGAAAGAGTATATGGGCCCCCCAAAGCTCTGGTGCTCCTTTGTCTACTTCTCATTCTCAGGTTAGATGTGAGGCTTGCTTGGTCCCCAGCTACCAGGCTTTGCCAATTACTTCAGTGGTCCCAAACCTGCCCTGGGAAAGACATCTTGCCCCAGAGAGGCCATCAGGCAGTGGGCAAGCTGAGGTGGCAGAGGTGGTAGCATGCTGAGAGGATCTGCATCTGACTGAGGCTGAGGCCAGGGACAGAGCAGGTGACGGAAACCTTTAACTTTCTTCCGTCTGGAATCTCTGGATTTGTTCCTCCTAGCTGTGCTGTAGTATTTCAGCATTCAAAAAGGCACAAGTGGGACCTGGGCATCTCTTAGGATTGCTTTGTTTGCATCAGTTCTGTTCCAGATCAGAAATTGTGTGTCCTGCCAGCTGCCTGAGTGCTGGAGCACTGGGTCGTGTCAGCAGAGACCTGCTCTGAAGTCCTTATGTGTCATTAGGCTGTCAGGGAACACAGGGCAATATGTCTGACCTGAGCCAGAGCAACTGCAGAAGAATACAGCTGTTACTCCAGGACCCGTAGGGCTTTATAAAGCTGCAAAGGACAGGGGAGAAATGTGTCTTGTAGGTTCAATTGGACTGCAGCCAAACCCTTTTAGAACAGCTGGTAGTGTAACTGTGTGCTGATTTTGTTTAATTTTCCATCCCCACAGGCCCTGAGCTCAGCCTGCTGATAAACTATGATATGGAGATCTCTTTCTGTGGCACCAGGCCCTCGCAGTGCTGCAAACCCTTTTCAACAGGCGGTATTTTGGTGTGGAGAAGGCAGGGAGATTGCTCTCAGGCCCCTTGTGTGACCTGGAAGAGATGAAAGTTCAGCAAGATGGGCTCAGGTATAGGGAGGCTTGAGACCCTAAACTGAATCACTGCTGGTTTGAGCCCAATGCATGTGCACCCCTTGCTCCCCCTACCCGCACACCTCCATTGCATACCTGTACCACTCTCCCTCACATTTCTCTCCTGCTCGTCTAGGGACCTAGCCCTGGTCTCCCCCTCTCCCCTGGCCTTCTGCAGGCATCCCTGCTGGTGCCTCCACGCCACTCAGGGCAGACAACCCAAGCAGTTTAACCCTGCTCCGGCTTTCAAGTCCTCCTCATTGGCAGAGCAGCCCTACAGAGGTCTCTCTGCTCAGCTGTAGGTCAGAGCAGCAAGAGCAGCCTCCTTCCTGTGATGCTCACAATTCTTTTTGCATGCACTTGTGGGCTCGCCCTTCTGCTCCTCTTCTCGCCAGACGCACTGACCTCCCTCTCACCTCTGTATCTCTCGGGTGCCTCAGCAGCCAACTCCCTTCACTGCCTGCTTCAAGGCCAAGCTCAGCAGCAGGCTGTGGAGCTGTCTGGGGAACAGACTGTGTAGTTCTGGAATCCCAGGAAGGCAGGAGGGTCAGATGATGGCACACTGGTAATGAATAATGCCATACTTGTTGACTTGGAGGCATCATGTTAATATTGAATTGAGGCACATCCTCCTGCTCTTTGTTGCTTCAAGGCCTTTCAGCCTAGGTCTGATCTACAGCTGTAGGCAGCTTTTATCTCAGAAAGCAGAGGATGTTTTGCTGAGTGGAATGTAGAGTCAGATGCCACTTTTTGAGGATGCAGTTCCCACCCTGGGCTCCCTGACCTGCCCCATACCCTGTATGCTGCTCAGGCAGTCCTGAGTCTGGAGCTGTCACCTTCTGCACTGTGGGATTGGTGGGGGATCCACGTATTTCACCCATTTTACCTCGAAGTAGGGGACTATCCTATCTCATCCCATTTTTATACACACCTAGCCCCAGAAATGCTTCCAGCCCTGGGTTGTGGCCCACCTCCCAGTTCTACTCTCACTAGGCTGCCTTGTTGCAGTCCCAAACTACCTCACTGCCCCGATTCACTCCAGCCCCTCTCCCCATTGCTGTTTCCACCCGGAGCAGCAATGACCCACCTCTACCTTTTGCTGGAATTCCCTTGCCCTGGCTCCCTTCCTGCAGCCCCACCCAGGCAGGCAGGGATGCCCCAGCTTGGACTGAGCCAGCTGGGGCTGTTGCAAACGGGGTCAAGTGCCATATTTTTTCCATCCCTCATCCTTTGCTGGAGATAAATGCTGCACAAGGGCCTCCACTGGTGCTAATGCCTCACAGCACTGGTGGGTGAGGGGGGAAGCAGCAGCACCCCCCACCCAGGGGTTTTGGTGAGACAGAGCAACGACCACAGCCATCCCCGCTTCCTTCCTGCAGGTTTATTTCTCTGAGGGATTTCCCCCCAGCTCCGAGGGCGAGTCCAGGCAGCCGTTTGCCTTTTCAGGCCTTTTGGCTGCAAGAACAGGCACCGGGGGTACCTCCGTAGCCCCCCGCCGCCCCTTCAGCGGCAGGAGCACTTGCAGGCGGCCACGACGGGGTAGGGGATGTGCCGCCAGGTGCAGCTCGGGGGCCCGGGGAGCGGCGGGGTCCAGCAGTGCCAGGCCAGCAGCTTGATGCGGGTGAGCTGTGCGGGCCGGCAGCTCATGCCGGGCGGCCAGGAGCAGCCGGGCGGGCCGGTCTCGCACGTGGTGTGGCGCACCCAGCGGGGCCAGAAGACGGGGCCCAGGTCGACCCAGGCGGAGGTGAGGCGGCAGCTGGCCCGCTCCACCAGCCACTGCCGCAGGCGGCGGGCCAGGGCCCCCGCTAGCTCTGGGGGCAGCTCCAGCCCCTCCACCTCTCGCCACAGCTTGCGGTGATACCGCCCGGCGCCCTCCGCCAAGTCCCTGCTCGTGGACTCCAGGTTCTCCTCGAGGATGCTCCCGTTGCGACGGCGGGGCTCCTCGGTCGCCATCCAGAAGGGGTCGAAGGCCGAGCCCAGGAGCCGGCGCAGCCGCCCGGGGCGCAGGTGCCGGGGCTTGGGGGCGTAGCGATAATCCTCGGGGGAGAGCGACAGGCTGTAGGGCCGCGCCGGGGCCGAGGGCTGGCCGCGCAGCAGCTGCGCCGTGGGCTCAGCGGTGCCGGACGGCGGCCGCGGCGGCTCCCCAGGTTCCTCCAGAGGCGGCGGTGGGCCTGGGATGCCCGGCGGCGGGAGCAGGCAGAGCAGGAGGAGGAGGCAGCTGCGGTGTGGTCCCTCCATGGCGAGCAGCGCTGTGACAGGCTGTGCCCGGCTGCAGCTCGTACTCTGCCGCATCCCCTGGGTTATCACCGCGTCCCGAGGCATGGCCTTCCCCTTTTCCCTGGTTACAGCGGCTGATAGGGAGCTGGCGGGGACACCTCGCTCATTCCCACCAGAGGGGCAGGTGGCGGGGAGAAGCCTTATGGTCTCTCCTGTCACTGCGCTAGTGGGGATAATTTGGGCTGCTGCGGAGGGGAAGGGGCCAGCGCCTCCTTCTCCATATCCTGCACCGTCATTGGAGGAAGTAGTCGCAACCTTCCCAATGAAGGGAAGCTGGTGGCCTTTGAGTCTTGCTGAGAAAGGATCACCATGCTGCACTCAGTGCAGCTGGAAGTCCTCAGGGCACAGATCCTGCCACCAGGGTGGACATAGCAGCAGGGCTTCGTGGGTCACTTTCCTCTCCTGGCACATCAGCCAGCCCCCATGTGTCTCTAGGCAGCTGCGATGGAGCTGGACCTCTGGAGGTCTTGTCCTCCCTCCCATACTGAAGTACTGGTGGAGTACAGATCTGGACTGGATTGAATTCAAAACGTGCTTTCTCCTCCTTCCCTAGGTCAGATGTTGTGGGAGAGGCTCAATCTGCTCAGAGCTACTAACAATTAACTAATAACATCTAGTAACAGCAATTACCTCTCATCCTCCAGAGGGTTTAGGACCCTATATTTGAGGGACAGGGCAGGGATGAGGTTCACAGCTGTGGGATATTTACATTCCCTGGAGGTGTTGGACAACACATCCTGAGCACCCATCATTGAGAAGTGGCTGATGAGGTCCAAGGGACCCTTTCCCCCTCCATCCTTCCTTTTCCATCAGAGAGAAGTGAGCTTTCTCTCTGCCACCCCCTTCTCAGCAGGAGGAGCAGGGAGCAGCTGAGCCTGCAGGAAAGCTGGGCAGAGAGGAGTTAACTCCAAACCCAACCTCAGGGAGAGGGGAAAAAAAAACCAACAGAGAACTATGGATCAGCAGCAAGAGCAGAGGGAGGGAAAAGGGGGAGTCAGAGAGAGAGGAGAGGAGCTCCAGAAGAAGAGAGAGCAGAGCTGGTGGTGGGCAGAGGGAGGCAGCGGAGCACCGGGCAGGAGTGACTGGGATGACAGAGCTGCCCAGATAAACTCTTCTGTGGTCTGCATCCTCCTGCTACCACTGTGTGGGCTGGACTGGAATTCTCCCCCTCAGCGAGTGGCAAAGCTGCAGGCCCTTCCTCAAAAAGGTGAGTACAGCTTCCAAAGCTGAAAGGTGGCCTCAGGCTCCCTGAGCAGAGACACCCTGTTGCATTTTGCATGCCCAGAAGGAGACTGGGCTCCTCTGCTTCAGTGAGGAGATCCCATGGGGCCAGATGGATAAGCTGGATAAGCTGGAGGGTAGCTATCAGTAGGACAGAGGGGACCAAAGACAGAGGGGCAGGGGCAGTCTCTTGGTGTGATGCACAAGGAAGCTGGGAAGCAGAAGTGGCATGAGCTGAGGGATGGGGGAGCATGGAGTGAAGGAGCTTGCATGACCCAAAACCGAGTTAATTGCTTGTCAACAGTAGCTAGATAACAGTGTCTTTCCTTCTCTGTTTTTGCTCAGAGAAGGACAATTTGTTCTAATGATAGCATAACAAGGAGAAGGCTTATTCAGAGATAGACTGTTGGTGTTCCTTGCCTGAGCACAGTGTTACTCAGGGCTGGAGGAAGTTTTGCAGCAAATCGCAATACCTTGAGCTGTGATAATAACAGGCTTCTTCACAGTGATCATCACGTTGTATTTCAGGTGGCTCCAGGGTCTCCTCCCCATCTTCACCTACCTGCCCTTGATTACCTCTCAGCATCAGAAAAAGGTGCATTTAGTTGCTTTTCCTCTGTGGAGCATAACTATTGCACAGGGAGCAAGGAGCAGCCAGCTCCTGGGTGAGGGGGTCCCAGCTTAAGGAGTTCCCTTGGGGTGGGAATGTGTTGGGGTGCTGCTGCTGTGGGGTGTGATCCAGGCTTCGGGTCCCTGCTGTGGGAGGTGGCACAGCCCTGGGCTGATTGTGCTGGGAGCACTTGCAGGCCATGGGAGCCTCCTACCTCATGGCCCTGTGGCCAAACCCTGTTAAACACTAGCCAGGGTTTAGACTTACCAAAGCAAGCAATGCCAAGGGGTTTAGCAGATTTGGGAATGTAGGAGGAATGGGGTGAGGCCAGATGGCAGGGCAGGAGGGATCCTTCGGAGTGCTGGGAGCACAGGAGATGTTCTGATGGTAATGTGAACCTGGGCAGGAGAAAGAGGCTTCAGCTCTGCTCAAGCCAGGTAGATGTGGGCTGATTGACTACAACAGTATCCTTGCCAGTGATGTCACGAGGATCTTGGTGGCATCATCTAATCAGCTGTTTGGGATTGGCATCTCTGGGAGAAACGTGAGTGTCAAAGGCTGGGGTCAGGCGCCTTGGAGCCTATTATTCCTTTCTCCCAATGCAGGTCCCTGCAGTGTGACAGGAAGATGCCAGGGGGATTGAACATCTCTTCTGACAGCCCAGAGCTACGAGCAGCAGGGATTATTGTGCCCATCATCTTCTCCCTCATCTTCCTTGTGGGTACTGTGGGAAATGGACTGGTGCTGGCTGTGCTGCTGTGGAATGGCCAAGTCAAGTACTCCACCACCAACCTCTTCATCCTCAACCTGGCTGTGGCTGACCTGTGCTTCATCATCTGCTGTGTCCCTTTCCAGGCCACTATTTACACCCTGGATGGGTGGCTCTTTGGGGCCTTTGCCTGCAAGGCTGTGCATTTCCTGATCTACCTCACCATGTATGCTAGCAGCTTTACCCTGGCTGCCGTCTCTGTTGACAGGTAAGTGTCCCCTTCCCTTTGAGTTCTGCAGCTCAGGGACACTGTGTTTGCCAATCTTGAGCTAAGGGTGGGAGGAAGGTCACTACTTACCCAGTAGGGTGTCCTTGTAAGAAGCAGGTCAGGTCTCCCCAGAGGTAGGGCCAGCAGAGCCCGTCTCCCCAGCTTCCCATGCCTTCCCCCTCTACCAAGCCAAGCTCTCAGCCCAATTACCCAGCGCTCACTTGGAAAGGAGGGGAGTCCACCATGCATAAGCAAGAACAGCAAAACCCCCAGAGCAGCAACACTACTCAGAAGAAACAGGAGAGTCCTGCCCCTATCCTTCTCTTACCCCTGCAAAAGATAAGTTGCTTGCCCTTCCTAAGCTAGCACAGCAGAGTGTATGATAGAGATCCCAAGCCCACTGTTGGAATGCCCCTGATATTTTTGTGAATTCACTGTAACTCTCACTTCCAAAAAATTTGGGAGGGAAGAGATGGGTGGCTGCATAGGAAGGGGTACACAGATGGTAGCTCCAAAGGGCAGGAGAAATACCTCATCTCACCCATGCTGTGTTTTGCCTCTTCTTCCCCTCCTTGCCAGGTACTTGGCTATTCGCTATCCACTCAAGTCCCGGGATCTCCGCACATCCCGAAATGCGGGAGTGGCCATTGTGGTAATCTGGTCACTGTCACTGCTCTTCGCAGGGCCTTACCTCAGTTACTACCAGATAATCCATTACCATGGCGTGCCCATCTGTGTCCCCATCTGGGAGGACCAGCGCCGAAAGGTTCTGGACATCCTCACGTTTGTATTTGGATACCTGCTGCCTGTGACCGTGGTGAGCCTGGCATACTCTAGGACCATCAAGTTCTTGTGGACTTCTGTAGACCCCATAGAAAGAATCTCAGAGTCTCGGAAAGCCAAACGTAAAGTCACCAAGATGATTGTCACAGTGGCCATCCTGTTCTGCCTCTGCTGGCTGCCCCACCACCTGGTCATCCTCTGCTTCTGGTTTGGCCACTTTCCTTTCAACCGGGCCACTTATGCTTTCCGCCTGGCTTCCCACTGCCTTTCCTACACCAACTCCTGCCTCAACCCCATTGTCTATGCTCTCATCTCCAAGCATTTCCGCAAGCGTTTCAAGCAGGCCTTCACCTGCTTTTTCTTCCAGAACAAGATCAGGAAAAAGAAGAAGAAGAGGGTTGGAAGGAAAGTCCATATGGTCAATGTAGAAAGAGGTTTTCCCAACAGGACAGGAGATTTCTATGGAGGCAACAGTGAGGTGACCCAAGCCCCAGAAGAGAACACCAGGAAGAGGGACCATGAAGGTGCCAATCGTGCCAGAGCATGGACTCAGCAGGTACAAGGTGCCATGGTCTCTGTTCAGAAGGAGCTACTGGAGGAGGAAGTTTTGACAACAGCTGGCCATTCCCTAGATGTGACCCCTCTAAGAGGAACTGTTGGACAAGACCAAGAAGAAGCCCTAGAAAAGGGCTAGAGAGGCAAGAAAGAAGTCTATATTTGCATCACATTTTCTGGCCACATCACAGTGGTTTTGCTTTCTTTCAGGATCATGCCCATGCCTTATCCCCACTGAGATGGTTTCATGTTGGCAGAGAGAGATGAGCTCGTTCATTCAGATCCATTAAACTGAGTTCAAGTCCCTCAGAACTCCTCAAACACCTCCTCCATGATCCTGTAGTTATGTCTGAGACCTGCCATCATCCCAGCTCAATATTCACAGTAAACTTTAAGCAATTGCAACAGCCATCCTTTTCTTTAATTACATATGGTGTTTTATTAGTGCTGTGTGGATCCTGAATATGTAACCTTTAATGTGAGGCAGATCTGCACCTGTAATTTCTTAAAAGAAGGTGAAAATTGGGAAGCTTAGGAAAAAGTGTTTAGGGAAAGCTGTGACACTCTGGGACACCCAGACTTCCACACTGAAGCTGGGAAACAATTACAGGTTATTATGGCACTTGTAGGTGTCCTTAGCCCTGCATGGGCTACAGAATCCTCTGGTATCCTCACCTGTCCCCATGCATGGTGCTGGAAGTTGTGTTTTGGAGTTTTGGCCCCAGCCAGTGCTGTAGGCATTGTACAGTAAGGCTGGGTGACATCAGGCAGCTTGCAGAGCTGTGATGTGCATCAGCAGAACCATGGTCTCTCCTTTATTTCTCTTCTTTTTCTGTTCCCTACTTCTGTTTGCGTAAATCTTTCCTTTTTGCTTTGTCCTGCCCACTCTTAATTCCCAGGTGACATGGTATTTCTAACGCTCACTGAAGCTGTTGTTCAGCTTGCCAGAGCTTAGCTCCAAGGACATTCCTTTTTCTGTGCAGAGGGTAACTGAAGAGGAAGGCCAACACTGCTGGGAATTAGTTTTCTTTTTCCATTCAAGTGCTTGATGTTGCTTTCTGCACTTTGAACCTCCCTTGCCTCTCTCCCTGTTTTTTGATTTCTCCACCTCTCTCCTTTCGTGGTGGCTGCCACTCCTCTACAGCAGATCTCTTTCAGAAATGTGTCCAGTGTGCCTTCCTGGGAACAGTGAGTTCTGCAGCCACCCTTTGCACATGATGCCATGGCTGGTGGCCAGCTCACATGATCTTATCATTTCTTCAGGTGAAGAATCACTCCACAGCCCAAAGGGTTGGAGGGAGAAGGGAACAGCAGTCAGGAACAATGATGTGGTATGGCTGGACACTGCCTAGTCTTGCCTAGAAGCAGCTGAGCTGTTGCTCACCCCTGATCCTGTTCCTCCTTATCCCAGATTGCAAATGGAACTGATCAGATCAGGGCTGACTGCTGCACACTGGGGTGAAGCCTAAATGAAACAGGACAGAGAGGACAGGGAAGATCTTTGGGAGAAGGTGCATTTAGCATGACAAGTGGCTGCAAACCCTGGACCCCTTCACTACATTCTGCCTGGTGCTAAGCCCCAATTTTGGGGAGCACATGAGAAGGAAAGGCAGGTGCTGAGCCTGGGTTGGGAAGGCTCTGGAGCCAGAAGTGAATTCCTGTCTATCCAGTACCAGTTTACATGCTCCAATTGGTTTCTCAGCTCAAAAGCAGAGGTGAAGCAAAGATGTTACATCCTTGATAGAGAGACAGATTTAATTAAAACTGAAGGAGTTTGATTGCTGCTTTCCACTGAGCCTTCTCTCCAGACTGATTGGCATTCTGCAGTCTCTGCTCCCAGCTTCTTGCCTTAATTAATGACTCTTTTCTCTTATTTTCTATCCTACTTTTTATCGCTCAGGCTGACAAGCACATCTTTAACCCTGCAGGGGCTGGTCTGCCACATTGGTAGAGTGCAGCTGTTCCAAGATCTGGAACAGGGTGGATGAAATGGGAGAGGTGTGAGTAGGTCAGAGCTTTGTGTCTAGGGGTAAGCATCAGCTCTTCTCTGTGGAGTAACTTAGTCCTGCCAACTGTGTGCTGATTCTGGTGTCTGGCATCTCCCTGGCATGTGTGACATGAGCCTGACATACTGGGAGGTGCCAGACACAGGTGTCAAGAAGCTCATCCTGCTTATGACCCTGTGTGCAAACCTGGCAGCTCTGGGAAGGGAATTCTGCTTATTTGCTTTTGGGTTTAGCTGCTGATCAGCCTTAGGAGGTTGCCAGCTGAGTATTTTAATTCTTCCATGTGCTCTCTTCCCCTCTCAGAGATTTCATTTAAAAATCCCAGAGTAATGCTGTTTTCCATATCTCCTTTATTATATTCCTCATCCAAACTTGCTGATTCCTCCATGTAGTCACCCCACGGGCTCTGGCCTGCCCAGAGCTGCTCCCCCAGGATGGCCAGGCACAATGCATGAAGAAGGCATCTTTTTTTAAGTATCTTTCTGTGATGGAAGAGACTTTTGCTCACAGAGTGAGCAAAGGAAGTGGATGAAAGGGTGAGAAATTTGTCAAAGACGCTACATGTGGCTTCCTTAGTAGCACAGATAATTGCTGTGCTGGATTTGAAGTCTGCTGGAAAGGCAAAGGTGGAGGAAGCAAATGAGTTTAGCTGTTGGAGATTAATTATTTCAGCTGCCGAAGAGCTGAACAAATTCTTGGTTTTCACATACATTGCAGTGTGTGTGCTTTGCACTCAATTGTGTGGGTGAAATAGCTGCTCCAGAGAAAGGTCATTTGCTTATTAACATCAATGCAGCTTTGCTTGGGAGGCCTTGTCAGAATTGTTGCTTCTGCTATGGCTCCTCTGTGAGACACAAGCAGGCTCTCAGGGCAGATCCTCAGTCTGGCTGGTTTTGGTTGCATGTCACAGTACAGCAGCAGCCTCAGAGCCAGGGAGGTTGCTGCTGGGTTCAATAGCTGGGAATTCTGCAGATCATATGCTCTGAATTAGGTAGGCAAATAGAGTGTATTTGGAGGTCAGATAGTGGTGAGAGAGAACCAAAGCCTGAAGTCCCAGTTGATACCATGGCCCTGAGAACAAGGCCCAGGAAGGGATCTGGGGGGTGCATTTGAAGGTGTAGCACAAAGAAAATGAGGAGTTTGGGCTGATTCTAATGGCAAAATAAATAGCAGAGGGAAACCTGTGCTGTTGTTTCCATTCTCCATTACTGCAGCAGACACCTCTGGGAGATGCAGAAAACTGCTACCAGCAGGGAAATCTGTGGCACAGGGTGCAAGGACAGAGAAAAGCTGCTGGGAGAAGCTGAAGCCTCTATGCCAGAAGAAGAAAGAAAACCAGGCAGTGCCAGTCTACAGCTCTCAGCACAGTGGGAAGCTATGTTTTCTCTTTCTCTGGAACAGCTTCTTCCCTGCCCAGCACCTAATTCTCATTCTGGATACAGCTGCTGAGCATGACAGGTTAGTTAAGGCTCTGGGTATGACTGGCTGATGCAAAGAAACCTAAAACTTTTCTCCATTCAGTGCCAAACACATGGTATGGCTCAGGGCAGCCCACAGTGTCAAGCCCCATGGCAGGAAAGCAGAACTGACTGTGGTGATTCATAGAATACAATTCCTACATTATACTTTTTTTTTTTTCTCCGTTGAAAACCAAATCTGCTTTTCTCTTTCTTACCTGGTGTTAGTTAAAGCAGTGGCAAGACTTCCTGTAACCATTTTGTTTTTTATTACCTCTCCTGCCATGGTGGGAGCAGGGTGGCAAAAGAAGCAAGTCAATCGCTCCTGGCAGGCTGCAGCACCCCCACCTTTTCCCTCTGTCAGGAGCTGTTAAGAAAAACCCAGCACCAGGCAAGAAAAAAGCCTGAAGAGCTGTGGACAACATCACGTGTGCTGAGACTAAAAGCTTCACTCTTGAGTCTCAGCTAGATGTGTTCCTGGGTTTGAGGCAAGCTTGTAAGAGGTGTCTACTTAGAGATAACATCAGCAACTAAAGTAACTGCAGGGATAAAGAGCGTTTTAGCCACGTGCTCTTCAGGTACCTTAATGGTCTCCTCAGCAACAAGGCTGCTGAGGGCAGAAGCGCTGGCAGCTGAGTGTATGTGGACATCAAGACTGGGCTGTAAAGATGGGAAGAAACAAGATCAGTAAAGACTGGGCATGAAGGTCACCTGCTCCTGACATAGGGGCCACGCTGGAAGTTCTCTGCTCTGCCCAGATGTCCCTCCCCAGCCCCTTATCCTCTTGCTGTCTCTTCACAGCACAGCCATTTTATTCGGCATGGGGCAAGGCACAACTTCTGCCACTGGGTGAGGCTGCTTTTCCTCTCTGCAAAATATCTCATCTTCCAGCTTGAAGCACTCCTGCTGGGAGTCTCTTTCCTCTGTTTGTACAGTTTCACAGCAACTACCTAGATTTTAAATTTGGATTTCTTGGCTGTGGATGTCAGGATCAGAAAAGGTCAGCCAGCAACCCTGTACTTCGATCTGCAAACAGAGTGGTGTAGCAGCCAGAGGCCCTGCAAGGCCTCCCTGGCGGTCACTTGCCTAAGATAAGAAATGCCTAGTCATGATGACTGCACCAAAGAAGCCCCTCTTTTGCCTTCAGACCCTCGTTATCTCTCTGTAAGACTGTAGGTCATATTTGCCTTGACCCTTACTATTGGACCAATTTCCAACACCCCGTACCCTATATTAAACCCCATTTCTGGAAGAGCTGCCACTGAAACCCTTCGCAGGAGCTGCCAATAAAGGCACATCTGTGGAGCTGCATACAGCCTTCTCCTCTCTCTCCCCACACGTCTGCCTGGGGCACTTAGCAAGCAAAGAGCTGAAATCACTGAAGAGCTGAATCACTAAAGAGCTGATCTCACTTAAGAGCTGAGCTGCTTGCTAAGATTGCCCGCGGCTGGGAGCTTGCCTGAGGGGCCTGGACAGGTTGTGCTTATCAGCCCAGGGAAACCTAGGCAGCTGGGGTCAGATAGACCTGGGGAACCCCAGGCCCTAATAGAGTGGTGATTGAACTCAAACAACTTTGTGTTGTCACTTCTGATTTGAGGACCAGGTATGAGAGTAGCAGTTACCAAGTCCAGTGCTGTGCATGGGGCCTGGAACAGACATAAAAAAGAGGAATGGGCCGCTCTAAGAAAGAGAACTTGGCTGAGGAGTCATAAAAGGCTGACAGGATTTTATTGAAGTTGAAAATACAAAAAGGTCAGATTGTCTCTCACCCTCTCGGCATCCTTCCCATCAAGCACATCATAATGAAGTATCACAGTGACAGCTCTAGCCCAGCCATGAGACTGCTGCTCCCAGCTGCATCCTCCAGCAGCCCACAGATGAACCCATCTAAAAGCCATGCCTATTTCTGATATCTCAGTTTTGAACAGAGGTCCACTTAGCCTCTTCCTGGACAAGAGGCAGATATCAGAGAACATGCTGACCTAAATATCTCTGAAAAACGCTCCAAACTGTGGCTACTGCATATTTAAGCTGAATCTTAAT